CAAGAACAAGGTCACTGACACCATGAGCATCAACAGCACACCAGCTCTGTAACAGTGGGTTTCAACGTTGCTGCGTAGGAGACCTCAGTATTAGTTTTTTAATCCCACTTCTACCTGTTGCAGGAATTGGAAGCATTTGTGAGGCTGAAACTTTAATACCTCCAAGCCTGCAAGTCTCCCTAAGAGTACAGGATAAGCTGGTTGGGAAAAAAACTAAGCTGTCCTTCATTTACTCACAGTCTTTAACAGCTTCCATGACAACTACAATTCACATAAATGCTAAAACACAACTCTGGATGGAAATCTGATGTACTAATTCTAGTCTGCACACATTTTCAAATTGATTTATAAGGACTTGAGAATATGCACAAAAATACTACAGTTGTCTGAACTAGTACACTCCTAGAGCAAACAGCTAGAGGTTCCTACCACTGAATCAGGCCTTAGATCTTGAATTTGAAACTTGTAGCATCAAGGGAGGGGTGAATGTTGAAAGAATATAGACTTCAGGGGACAAGACAGAAGAAAGAAAGGAAAAGAAGGCAGAAAGATAGTTTTTGTTCCATTTAAAAGACTAGGGTTACAGTAAAAAGTGAGCCCCATATTGCCTTATATGATGACCTACAAAGAACGTGGCTCATGCTTGTTTACAGACAAAGACAAGTGGATCTTACACACCCATGGGAGTATTGCTCCGAGGGGAAGATGGCAGAGTCACGTGTCTCCGCTTGTTCCTTGGCCTCAGCACTCTGATCAAAGCTTGTTTGCAAGAAAAGCTCACTGCAGGATCCTATGGGATTAACAGTTAATTGTTAAACTTCAAGTTTTTACTGCTCCTTTGCTGTATGTGGAAACACAGCTAAAGACACACATGTGCAGAGCATGACAAACATTACTAAAACACAGGCAGAGGGAATTCTCATTCGTTTGCTTGTCTCCCAGCTGTGTGTTTTTGGCTGCACACTTTCATTTTACATGACCTTCTTAGCTGTCTGCACATTACTAGTGCTACAGGACAATGCAGAGCAGAGAAAGTCTACATACAGGGCAAAGTAACATCTGCATGTAGATCTTGGATGCTGTGTGGATACAGTCCAGTTCACATGTGCAGTATCCATGAATAATATCCACCAGAGCGTTGACCGTGGCCTCAACATGAGTCAGACCTGAAGAGGAACGAAAGTAGAACTGTAACCATCTATCTGGAATGACACACTTGCATGAAGTGTGTTTTGGTTCCAGCACAATACGAGTTTATACACCAGCCTTGCCAGCCTAAGACAGCACATGTCACATGCCAGTGCCGCTGAATATCTTCTAATCATGAAGTGTGTTTTGGTTCCAGCACAAAACGAGTTTATTCACCAGTCTTGCCAGCCTAACGTAAGGAATACAGCACATGTCACATGCCAGCGCCGCTGAATATCTTCTAACACCAAAATAACCATCCATAAAATCAAATACAAATAAACCATCAGTCATCGGTCCGCTAATATTTAACAAAAGCATTAGAGCAGAATTTGCAGGTGTATTCAGAATGCATACACGGCATCAAGATCTTAAGCCTAATTTGGAACAAGATTTTTTTTTTTTTTTCTATTTACAAGCTTAAAATAGGTTTCTGCAAAATATACAAGCCTGACAACAGCAGAGGAAGAGTTAGCACACCTGGCAAGCAGGCAGGAGCAAGGAAGGCATTTTTGGGTTTTGATGCATGTAGTTTCCAGAAGTGGTTGACCAGCTGGGTAATAAAAGTGCACCCTTCTCCTTCAGCTTGTTTCTGGGTCTCTTGTCCTTCTTCACTCTCTGTACAGATCAAAGAAGAGCTGTCAATTTGCACAGGCAAAAACATCAATCAGTAGAATAACACTAAGTTTACTTGAAACGGCTTTTGTGAGAGGCTCTGATACCCTCATTACAAGGACTATTTCATACCAAACACGTCAAGTCCTGTTTATACTTTAAAAACTGGGATTGCTCAAGAGACACATGTATTATTAACAGTCCTCTGCATCTTCTGCCAAAGCGTTTTTGTGAGAACCTTTATTTCCTTCCAGTAGCAATTGATTCCTTTTAATATCTTCGCTCTGAATCCATGCTAAGCATGCTCCCTTTCTGCCTTATTGCCTAAACTACGGCATTTTTTAGATTTAAATAGCGTAAATTCTACAAAGATTGTGGAACAGTAGCCGTTTAAAGAAGAGAGGTGAAAGAGTCTGTGAACATTCACAGTGTCTTGACCAATTTTAAGCTCTCCAGAACAAACTATTTATGATCACTCTAATGCTGAACCATGCACCGCATGACATCTTCAGTTATCACATGAGAAAACTGAATGAAAATCCAGACTCATCTACCTGATTCCAATTGTGGCAGCTTTGACTCCGTATAATGAACGAGATTGTTGGGTCTCATAATAGCAATGGATCGAGCAGTGATGACCAACCTCTGGAACACCTCAGGATCAAGATCCTTCCCTTCTTTAGTTGAGGAGCTCAAGTACTGAATGGCTTTACTGAGCAATGCTTGATCCTGTAAAGAAAAAGGCACTGTAGGCAAAGGAACAGGAGAGGCGGTGGCATCAAAACAACTGAAACACAGTTGCACAGGGAAATTCAGCACTTACTGCATTAACTCTTTGTCAGTATCATTCAGGTAGGACAACTGATATTAAAAAATCAACCAGTAGCAAGGAAAGAGTCTGGCCAAATAATTCATTTTCATGTTTTTTCTTCTCCACACACTTAGATGTGAATGGAAAGGTCAGTGTATAAATGTAGCCTTTGCTTGCCAACTGGTAAGGAAAGAGTTCTCAACAAGAATCTACATATTTATCTATGTTACGTTATTGTATAGACTAATCATCATTTACCCTTACGTTTTCCCACCACACCAAATCAGATGCCTGCAGAAATGGGAAGTAGATCTAATGGACACATCTGGCAAACAAACTTCACATGCTTAAAGACAAGGATTTCTCTAGATTAACTGGTACCACCTCCCACCAAAGTCTTCCAAAAGTATTTTAAGTAGCGAAGTTCTGGCGAAACACTGCCAGAAAGCCAGGCAGCAGAACCTAAAGGAAATTCACCCAGCAGGTATAAACCTGCATGGAAGAAGCACTTTCCAGGGGCAGGCTGTGCCTCAGCCATGAGCTGACAAGTGACAGGATGCGCTGAATCTCTCCTTGGGGTTACCTTGTGGTTATGGTACGCTGAGCGGCTGGTGTGCAGGCTAGCCAAGAGGCTCTTGGTTTGCTGCTGGACACTGGAAGGAGCTGGCATGGACAGCAGCATGGTAGCCAGTTCCTGAGCTGCCACCTTATTCTTCTCCTGTTTCCCAAAACAGACAAAAACCATTCCTCAGTACATTTACCATGAAGGTAACACAAAAGAATCTGATTTCCCAATGAACCTGAGGCTCCCCTCCTCACTTTGCTCTCCCCGCACTGAGAAGGCAGGTTTCTACCTCCATTCAGCATAGTTTTGATATCCCAATTCAATTTATTAGTTGACATTTAAAGGACATTTCACATATCTGCACAAAAAAAGTGTTTCTGAGATCTGTGGGCTGCCACCCCGCTGTTTTTGCAAACGAGGTCACTCTACAGCGCACAAAAAAAAAAAGGAAAAAAAAAAAAAAAACACCAGCAATAAATGCAAATGCCACTGTCACTTGAAACTAGTTTCAAATGCTTTTCGCTAAGTCAACTTCCAGATCGGAGCTCGGAGCCAAACGGATGCGGCTCTTGTGTGGTATCAGGCCCCCAGGGCTGCAGGAGGTGCTGCTGATCTTGCCCCTCCTCTCCCTGCTCGCAAAGCTCAAGCCTGTATTCACAAAGTTACTTGCCTTCTCGTTGACTGGTCCTACAGCAAAGCAGCTTTCCAGAGCTTCTAAAGAACTCACTACTAGCCTGGAGGGAGAAAGAAAAGCAGGTTTGAGTACAGCAACCCTTCTCTCTCCTTAGCACTTTGCTTTATGCAGGCTACAGTCACGAGTAGCTCAGAGACAGCTAACGAATGCCAAGTACAAAATCAAAGCATGATAAAACCTGCCACAGGCACCATGCATATCATTTCATTGTGTTACAGACCAGAGTTAAACCTGGCTCACGCTCACAGACAAACTTAGGACTGCTTTAATAATCCACAGCTGAAAGACAGGGGCTTTTCTCTACCAAAGAGGATAAAACATTTCCTTACGCAGCCTGCAGCAGGGATAACTTGGATTGTCTTGACAGTACCAATTCACCATGGCCCACAGACGTACATATGACTGCAGATCAAGGGTTGGCATGACACATGGGAAAAAGCGGAACCGACTTTTCTAAGGGAGCAAGATTCTACCCGCTTGCTATTTCCACACAGGTTGCTCCTTCCAATTTGGAGTTTCAGCCCAAAAGATTCTGGAGGAAAATTAACTCTGAGCACCGGGTATGACCCAAGCAAGGGATGCTGAAGTGCAAACAGCCTGTGCTGGGCTGCTTTTCACAGCAGGTTAGGGCAGGGTCGTCAAATACTTGCCCCAAGGGGAAACTTTATTCCCAGCTTGAAGCTGAACTGCCTCTGTGGAGCAGCGACCTGAAACGCCACCGGCCAGAGCAGAAGGGAGCAGTGTGAGAGCACAGATCACGGGGGAAGAGAGAGCATTAACGGGGGACATAACAACGAAGGAGCGATGCCAAGTAGAAGGAACAACACGAGGAGGCAGCAAATTCTCTGGTCTGGTGTGATAAGTAGCAGGACATTCCCCTACTCTCAGCCACTCTCCATAGAGCTAGCAGGGAAATAAGTGGGAGAAAAAGACATAAGGAAGGACGAAAGCCAGAAGAGTCTGTCAAACAAGCAACAGATCCAACGCTGGATCCAGCGGCAATCGGCAAACTTGCCTCCTCTTTACATTTTGCTAAATCATCTGCCATGCAATGACCAGAATGTAAAGAAGCAAATGGCACTTAAAAAAAAGGAACAAAAGAAAATAAAAAAGCAGAAAACAGTCAACAAAAGCCACAGCATGTGTTCGGGCTCTCTGACACACACTCATTCGTGCAGAGAAAAGGATGGCATACTAACCGGTCCAGGGTGGTTAGGGACTCAGTTTCTGAACTTTGGGGGAGCAAAGAAAAAGGAAAAAAATATATATATGTGTGTAAAGCTCACAGAAAAACTCCCTAGAACATATTCTAAGCAAAAGGCAAATTAAATGGGGGAAATAACGAAGCTGGCAGAGCAATATATACAGTAAAACTAAGCATGACTCTTTCTACCTGGCTAATAGCAAAAGAAAATTAAAGGAGATCCAGACCATCTAGTAGAGAGAAGCCAAGCGCATTGCTTAAAGCATCACTAAAGTTCAAATTCAAAGATGCAGACATCAAACTTCTGACAGGAAAGCTGCCTCTTGCCTGCTATTAATTGCTCCTGCTTAATAGGCCTGTTAGAAGGGAATGGCATTTTGTAACACCTAAGGAAAAAGAACTATTCTGGGGGTTCTGGGTTTTGAGGAAATAATGTCGCTGCTTCAGAAAAAAAAACACAACAGAAAGCATGTCTGTGCAGAGAGAGACCTCTTGTGGATATGTCACAGCAGAAGAGAGAGGAGCAATTACGTACAGGAAAAAAAATCCACAGACTCTTATATAAAATACTACAGGACAGCAATGGATGCTGAAAGCCTTCACCTGGATGCAACTGCCACTTTAAGCATGGCAGTTTGACTAAGACAAAAATCAATCGTCATTTACTCCACTTAGGTCAAGCAGGGTACACCTTAAAATCCTCATTCCTCAACAGCACTGGTTCTTCTCGGACCCGTTTTCCCTCCTGTTCCTGCCAGCTTGCAGCTTTTCCCTGACCCTTACGGCACAGACGGAATGGGCTCCCGGAAGGGAAGTAGGATGGATGCTGAAGTTCTCTTTCTTTCCCCAGATACGTGCACAACTCAGCCCCATAAAATACTGCCTCTGAGGTGAGCTGTTGGGAACCACTCATCCAGGGCAAGGCCCAAGGCTGTCACACACAGCATCCTCCTCCAAACTGAACCCAAGTTCAGAGAGGCCCAAGCTTTGCTGGGGACTGAAAAAGGGTGAACTCAAAATGAGAAAATGGCCCGAAGCAGCAGCAATCTCCTCTAGCTCATCAAGACAGCCGTAGCCAGTGAACGTAGCCGCACAAAGCACGAACACAGAACTCTCCTCTGCTCCATCAGATACTCCAAGAGTTAAGTGGGAAGCCCTCTTGGCAGGAAAATCACTGAACTTTGCAGATGCTGTTTTGTGGCAGCGAGAAGGCTTCACTAACCCTATACGTTCTCCCAGTTAAGGGCACACAAGCGCATCTAGAGCAACTAGCTGTTTTTCAAAGGCAAATAAAAGCAAGAGCACAGAGATACCTCTCCAGAACGGTGCCGCTGGCCGCAGCGGGGGCAGTTGTCTCCGTCTCTCCAGTACCGTTCCCTTGGTTCAGGTTTGGGGGACAAACATTGCTCACGGAAGCAGATGGAAAATCCTCAGGGGGCTCGTCAGGCCACCCAAACTGCTCTTTGGTTTTGCCGTAAATCTTTACGGAATCAATCATGGTGACTCCAGCTGGATCCACAGAAGCCCCAACTGCAGCAACAAGAGAGGTTTCTTAGACACACACAAAATACTTTCTCCTGAATATCAACCAGAACAGCTTCAGGTCAGGATAATAATTACACCATCATATACATCCACTCACAGCTTCCCCTCCTTTTCCAGGCCACTTTGCTTCTGCATTACCTCAACACAAAATTCTCAAGTTGAAGTACGGCACATTTATTCACTATAACAGAAAACTAGGCCCTCAAGAAACACTGCACGTGCAGGGTCTGCACCTCAACCCTTTCCTGTGCTCAGGTCACAAAGCTTGTGGAAATCCACTCCGGTACCACACGAAGCCCAGCAGCTCCAGCAAGCTCGGCCAACCGCGAGTCCAAGCGAGCGCTGCACAGACTTACTGAAGACAGTGAGCTTCTTGTCAGCCTGCAGGGCTTCCTCCCGAGTGAAGGGGAAGTCAAACCAGCGAGCCCTGGTCAAGTTGAGCTGCATGGTGCGCCCAAATATCTCCAGGTACGAGGGCGCGCGCTCGATGGCCTGCGTGCCGATCTGGATGCGCATGCCCGTCATCACCATCGTGCTGTTGTTGTTGGTCACTTCGATGGTGAAGCCCCCCGGCTGCAGGAAACAAGCCACAGCTCAGAAAACAGTGTTTTTTGCCCTGCCCTAAGCACAAACCTAAATGACATCATCTCCCTGCAAGACCATTTTGCACCATGGCACAGTGAGCTGTTCCCTGAGAATTAACATACACTTTCCATGGTGTTCTTTTTAGGAGGAAATGCCTCGTTGGCAGTCCTGTGTGTGAAAGTGGACACACAGTTTGTTCTGTAGAGCCTTCCTATAGTGGAGGATTAATCCTTGAAAGCAGAAGATTGGCTGTAATTTGCATGCTGAGCTGACTGTTCAGATGTCTATATTCGAGCATACAACGGAAATCTGTACACAAGTGCCTCCAGTATTTAACAGCATTACTGCTTTTGCAGGATCATTTGGAAGACAATGCAGACTTCTGAGAAAAGACACATCCATCCACCCTGCCAGTAATGTCACCCAGAAGCCTAACAGGGCCCCCAAGTCGCCACATTTACCTTGGTGTTGGCCACATACATGCCAGTGGAATTGAGCCGGTGCTTTATCTGCTGAGCATTGTAAACCTGCAGCAAGTCATTGCCCCCGAACTCCACGTCCGTGAGCTGCTGGTTGTGCTCAAAGAAGTCAATAGGGAAGTTCACTTGGCTGGACGTACGAGTTGCTAAAAGAAGAGAGACACAATATTTTTACAAGCAATTAATAGGTGAAGCTAAGGTACAAAAGCTGCAGAATGAGCTCACTTCTTCTGGAAATGCCTGTGGCTGCCAGGTATTCATTTATCATATATATCTATAAACACATCCCACCATGACTGCCTGTCCTGAGGTAAACTAGGAATTGTCAGAAATGAATGTCTGAAGTTTCTATGGGATGATGAGCGATTTTCACATCTGGATTTGCCACTGGTACCTTGAACAAGACACACATGAGCAGAAAGGCCTTACTAATGGCAGCTGCCTTGCGCTTGCGCACTGGCTTCATGATGCTGATGACACTGCTGGGCTGGAGTGAGGGCTGGAGCCAGTAGGAGGTATTTTCCACGTTGGCCATGTAGATCCGCAGGCTGCCGTCCTCGCACAGCAGGATCATAGTGGTCCTCTGCTGCTCGTTACAGGCAGTGTGGCGGATGGCCACCATGTCCTGGATCTGGAAAGGCAGCCCATGGAAGTCAAGGGAAGGAACTGACAACGGCTGCTTGCAGCCACAAACTCTTTGCATGAAAGAGGCCACAAAGATCAAATATAAGAAGCTTGAAGATGATAATAACTAGAGCAAAATGTTTGGAGGCAGGGGTAAAAATACATTCTGAACGCTTTAATAACACAGATCAGTCAAAAAGCTTGCAAAACAAAATAGTTGTTCCCAACAGCAGTTAAAAGCCATCAGGAGGGAGAATTTTCTTGAGGACACTGCGAGAAAAGCTTGCATTAAAAAAACCTAAGCACAAAAGAACCCAAGAGAGCTTGTTTGAAGGGCCAGAAATGCTGGGAGGCACAACTGACCTTCGCTTTGGCTGGCAGCGTTTTAATCTCCTGGATGAGAAAGGTGTCTGGCTTCACCATGACCACGAGCGGCACCCCCGTGGTTTGCTGGACACAGCACACCAGGCCAGGGTGGTTCATCACCTCGGACCACTGGCACAGCGCCGGTGAGGTCTTACTGCCACCGTTGGAACTGCAAGAGACCAAGGGAGAATCTGCATGGTTCTGCTCCTTGAAACACAAAGCTGCAAAAAAGACTAGACCAGACTTGACCGGGGGCGAGAGAGTTGTGGAAACCTGAAACTTTCACAAATATTTATTCAAGACAGTAGCTTTGTTTTAAGCTAGTGAGAGCGCAGTAGACTGTCAGTGGCCCAAGTGCCCAGCTCTGGTTTTCAGAACGGAGCCTTTTTCTTGACATTTTCATAACACAAGAGATAGGTCTCCCTCAGGGAAGGCTGAAAATGAGCCTTAATATGCACAAGGTCCACTGCAGTACTGGTGCCGAAAGGAAACAAAGGCTTCCTGCTCTGCATCCTCCACGTGGGTGGCTAATCCCATCAGTTCCAGCTGCTGCAGCAGCAGCAGCTCCGTGCAGAGCAGCAAGGATGCTCTGAAGCCACCTTTGTGCCGTGAAATCCTAGCGAGCACAAGAAATGCACTCATGCCCCCCCTGCCCACACTGCCAGCTTTGGTTTCAAACCATCTTACAATTAGGGCAGAAACGACACGGAAAACAACATGAAATCATCGTCCAAGAACAGGAACTTCACAGCACAAGCTTTAGCCACGAGGAGCTGAGTTGTTGAGAATAATTCATACGAAACGAACTGCCGGAGTCTCCAGCTGAGCCTCACCTCTTTATGTTAATTGGGAAGAGCCGCTGGACCTCCAGATTGGCTCGGCTGATGGTGGCCGCAAAGGACTTGCCTTGACAGTAACTGAAGAAGAGCATCTGCAGGACATGGGAGTAATACACAGACACACCACCTCCTGCTACCTGGCCGTTGCTGTCCTGCAGAACCAGGGAAAAACAACAGCATGAAACACACACCTTTCAAAATACTCCCAAGCAGGCAGGCTTTCCAACTTCTCAACTGACAGAATTGTTTCCAAAGCCTCTTCCCCTCTCCCCAGCTCCCCCCACCACTCTAAACACAGCCCTAAATGACAATTTTATAAGCCGAGCTCCTTGGTGAACTCATCCATCAGATACTTCAAAGGCTTTTGAGTGGGATCCCGAGATTGCCTACCCGGAGGCTGCAGGAAGCGTGTTCGGCTGCAGTGCCTGCACGCTCCAGCGCCGCACGACAATCCCACGTGGAGCCCTCCCCACGTTCTCAGCTCATAAAAGAGCTTTCCTGCCGGCCCTCTCATCTATCTCCCTGTTTAGGAGCCATCTGAGGGAAAAGCACCATATAAAATTTGGACAGATTTTAAAAGGCACCTGCATGTGTAGTGTGCACCAAGAGCACTACAGAGCTGCTGCCCACCAGAAACAGGCTCACAGCATCTGTGCAGCACCAGCAACGGCTGATAACCTCATCCATCCTGGTTCCTGCACCTTTTGAGTGCCTCGCTTTGCAAACAGCCCTGCTCTGAAACCATCTCCCTGCTGAGAGATCCTGCTGGGCATAACTTCAGACCCAACCATGGAAAACACGATCCGTTTTCTAGATGAAAGGATCAAGGGGTTTAATTTTCACCCCCACCCCCTTCCACTGCAAGGATATTTTCTCTCCTTAGAGGAACAGCAACCAAGCTGATCTAGATCAGAAAATTTTAAAAAAGAAAAAAGGAAAAAAAAAAAAAAGAAGAGAAGAGAGAAAAAAATCTGCTTTTGACTCTCAGATGTACATGAAAGAAAACCACTGCAGCTCATACTGTAAGAAAGCGAAGTCGTCATTACCTTGAGGTCTTCATGGTTCACTTCAAGCACATTGGTGACGTAGAACGGTCCATGCTGGGCACTGCTCGCCTCCTCCATGAGCTGTGTATAAATGTACCCAGCAGAGGACATGATCACTATTATGTTCTTCCCCTCTTCGTTGAAGAGGAATGTGACATCCCTGATTTTGGAGCTTGGCAGCAGGAAATAGAACGTCGGGCTCAAGGCATCTACAGAAAGATCATAGATCTGTGGGAAGAAGCAGGAAAAGTTAACAGTTAAGCAAGAAAACTGCCCTTTTTGATGATGCAAAGGGACACAAGTTGAGACAAGGGAATGTCTACTAGATGTTACGAAAAGAATCTTAAAAATGCAGTACATTTGTAACATTTCAAATTAATTTCTATCTAAGAAAACTGTAACTCAGCACTGAGATCCAGGCTCTAATGTTTGAAACAAGACAATGAAATATCACCCAGAGCTCACGACTAACTATACCTTCACAAAGTCTGCAGTCACGATAGCCAGCTCGGTTTGAGATCCTGGCAGCCACACAGCTTTAATGATGAAATTTCCAGTGGCTAGTTGGGGATGAAGCACCAAGTGATCAGAGACCGATCCAGAGCTGCTGAACGTTAACACATGGCAGTCCTAGAGCAATGACAAACATGAGACAAATATTAGAAACACTTTTTAAGCCAAGAACAGAGATAAAAGCCAGCGATCCTGTTGGCTCCAATGATTCATGCAGTAAGAATCTAAACTCCTACATTTCTACAAACTATATTAAATAAATCCAAGTCCAATTGTTTCTCAGCTGAAGAATAGATTATGCCAACTGAACTGTAAAGGCTGAATCCAAGTTTTAGAGAATACGGAGAAGTGCCCTTGCTGCAAAACACCAGAGTTGTCACAGATTAGTTCTAACGCATTTTAAGTTTCACACAGCTAGATCTTGGCTCCCTTTTTAATGTAAAAATGCACTAAACAGAAGAAATACTTCATCTGGGGAATTGTCCAATGTATTCAATTATTCATATGTAAATGAAGTAATATCTACAGAGTGATTTGGGAGCTAAAATTAGTGACAGACCTTGGGAGCTTTTATTACTCAACTCCTTAGAAGACAGACAGACATGATGGTTGGAGATGACAGCACCGGCTGTCTAGAAAAGGGCTTGTCAGACTCTTACTTTTAGTCCACACACTGCCAGGTAGTCTTCCTTGCAGGGGTTTCCCGTCAGGCTCAGGACAGTAAATGGAACTGGTGCAGATGCCAGGCGAGTAAGGGTCAATTTTCTTTTGCTGGAGTCTGCTTGTTTCAGCAATGCAGAGAGCTGGAGAACTGTAATCTACAAAATGAATCAAACTTGAGTTATCCACCTGCAGCATCAGGGCAGCGGAAAAACACACTGCAATTTCAATTCAATGGTTACATCCCCCCGTCATGGGGTTTTCACTGTCTGCTGCAAGAACACTTTTCTCTGAAGAAATTCCCCTCAGTTATCTAATACTTTACAGAAGACCCAGATCTGCTGACAGAGAGCCCAAATCTTTTTCCTTTTGTTGTTTAGTGCTTTAAGGCTGTTTCATTTTTTACAACCCAACCTCGACCTCTTTCACAGGGCTGGAGGCGCCCGTCTCGGCAGCACCCACCTTGCCCTTCCCCGCTGCTGCCGCCGGCCGTGCGGGGAGGACAGCACGCACATGGCCACGCGCCGCAGCACGTGCGCGCTGATCAGCTGCCGGATCGTCTGGCCCTGGTCCCCGCTGTAGTTCATGCGGACGTTCTCAAAAGCCCCTTCTTGAGAGCCGAGAGTCGGGACCTTCATTAGGAACGAAGAGCACACAGGAAAGTCCATGACAAACTTTTCTGCTCAAGCAACCCCCTGATCATACTCTAAATACTCTTAACACCTTTAGTATCGTACCATTAGCTGATCGGTCATTTCGACTGTTTTGTCCAAAGTGTGTAGCTCGTTGAGAGCCTGCTGTGCACGACTGCTGCTGCCCATGGCTGAAGCTTGCTGGAAGTTGATCTGAATGGCATCCATTAAGAAATTCAGCATCTCCAGCACCAGAGGAGCAAAGGAGAAGTTGGCCTACAAGAAACAGACACAGTCAGGCACAAAATAGTCCTGCTGGGAGTCTTCACAAGTGCTGCGTTTCAGTTATTCTTCAAAAGCTAATGCTGCTTTTATGATTCCTACTGGCATAATGAAAAGCACACAAAAAAAAGGGCAACTTAGCTGATAACCAACAAAGTGTGCTTACAATCCAACCCTCACTGAGTTGAACTGCTACTGACAGTACTTGGATACAGAAATTAAAATTAACCCTCACTGTAGACACGGATACAGAAATTAAAATTAACCCTCACCGCAGATAGCCTTCCCAGCTAGCAGATAATCATACCTGGGACTGCAATTCCTCCCGACAGCCCTCAACATTTCTACACAGGCTGCTCTTCTTGGGTTTTTCCTCGTCGGGACCCTTCCCCTCACTGATGGTGACCTTGGCTTTCTCTGCAGGAGACGTGCTGGAATGGCGAATGACGCTCTCGGGCACCCTGGGCTCACTCTGGAACGCGGACTCTTTCATGGTAGAGCTCATGCCGCTGCTGGGAGTTCTCTTCACCAAAGCCTGAGAAGGAAACAGCAATACTGAAAGTCCAAAACAGACTCATTTTTTAACCACTGACAAAATAAATACAGGTTGTAATAGCAGCAGTAATAACATAATTTCGAAGACAGAATGCAATTGTAATGTAGCAAGAACAACCGTCCTGTATCCTGCATGTCGCTCTCCACCCAATCTTAGAAAAATCATTTCATATTGTTAATTAACTTAGTCACTTCTAGTGGAAAGCATGGGAAGAGCTGGTATCTGACAGCTGGACAGTTTAAGCCAACTCGTGAATTCTAGAAAAAGAAGGATTCCCATTTACCATCAGTAGAGACACTTGTCAATGCATTTATTATTTGGTGAAAAGTCACCAGACAAGCTGTAAATTAGGAGGAGGAGGTAAAGTTCATTGTAAAGCCAAGGCCTTCAAGTCTCTACTCTTATGCATTTGTATTGTGACATAAAAGTCCTGCAGAACAGAAAACTCCTCAGAAGTCCTTAAAAAACACAAAAAATCACTTTTGGGGGACCAAATTGCTTCAATTTTGACAAAAAGACAGTTTACCAGGCAACTGCCATCCTCTTTGGCTCCACAGTCACAGAAGAATGATCCATATTTGGCATAAGAAATTTCATGATCCTTGTGACAAACTTTAGCACAAACCGTACAAACACCAACCCCATCAACCATCTTGCAAGTGTGACAATGATACCTGCACAAAATAAACCACAAGAGTTAAAAATTACAGTGCCTCTGTAGAAAGACTCTACAGACTTCATTTTCCTCTTCCTCAACAGCCAGAAATATCAGGCTGCAATTCTGACCAGAAAGTCTTGAAAGATTCTTACCAATGTTGGTTCATGAATTCTTTCTGCGTGATGGTGAAGGTACAGAGCTTATTGCAAAGAGAATCTTCATCCTACAG